GCAGTAGCAGTAGCAGCAGTAGCAGCAGTTGCAGTAGCAGTAGCAGTAGTCGCAGTAGCAGTAGTAGTGTCAGGGGGTGCAAAATGGGTGGTGGGTTTTAATATGGTTTATTTATATTTTATGCATGTTGTGTGTGTGTTTTTAATATTGATTTTAACTTGCACCACCTGAAGCCCCCCACGTGACAATTAGAACACCTGTGCCACGGTACAAAAGGAGATGGGGAGGGGGCAGGAGGAAAACGGAGAGGGAGCCAGACACGGGAGCCAGGCGCGGCGGGTGAGAGCCCCGTGGTCTGGCGGCCCAGGCCGTGGGGACGCATTTTAGCCTGTTTTAGCTTTTTAGCCCTTTTTTTAGCTTAGGTTTTTATTGCTTTTATTTACTTGTTTTTAATGTATTTTATAATAAATTGCTTTTAATTCGCTTTTAATCCGGGTCCGAAGAACCTGTTTTTACACTTGTGACAGTAGCAGTAGCAGTAGTAGTAGTCGCAGTAGCAGTAGCAGTAGCAGCAGTAGCAGTAGTAGCAGTAGCAGTAGCAGCAGTAGCAGTAGTAGCAGTAGCAGTAGCAGTAGCAGCAGTAGCAGCAGTAGCAGCAGTAGCAGTAGTAGCAGTAGCAGTAGCAGTAGCAGCAGTAGCAGTAGTAGCAGTAGCAGTAGCAGTAGTCGCAGTAGCAGCAGTAGCAGTAGTAGCAGTAGCAGTAGCAGTAGCAGCAGTAGCAGTAGCAGTAGCAGTAGTCGCAGTAGCAGCAGTAGCAGTAGCAGTCGTACCTTGCTGCAGTAGCTCCTGCAGTAGCTCTCTCCACTCCTCCCTGAACAGATTGGCTCCGGTCAGACTCCCGTCTCCTCCGATGACGCACAGGTTTGTGATGTCGCGCTGCACCAGGTTCAGTGCCGCGCGCAGCCGCCCCTCATGTGTGCGGAACTCTTTACAACGAGCACTGCCGATCACTGTGCCACCCTGACAACGCAATACAACCTCAGTGACAACGCAACACAACCTCAGTGACAACGCAACACAACCTCAGTGACAACGCAACACAACCTCAGTCCCACTGCGCCACACAACCTCAGTGACAACGCAACACAACCTCAGTGACAACGCAACACAACCTCAGACCCACTGCGCCACACAACCTCAGTCCTGGATCTACAGCCTCAGTCCTGGATCTACAGCCTCAGTCCTGGGTCTACAGCCTCAGTCCTGGATCTACAACCTCAGTCCTGGATCTACAACCTCAGTCCTGGGTCTACAGCCTCAGTCCTGGGTCTACAGCCTTAGTCCTGGATCTACAGCCTCAGTCCTGGGTCTACAGCCTCAGTCCTGGGTCTACAGCCTCAGTCCTGGGTCTACAACCTCAGTCCTGGATCTACAACCTCAGTCCTGGGTCTACAGCCTCAGTCCTGGGTCTACAGCCTCAGTCCTGGGTCTACAGCCTCAGTCCTGGATCTACAGCCTCAGTCCTGGGTCTACAGCCTCAGTCCTGGATCTACAGCCTCAGTCCTGGATCTACAGCCTCAGTCCTGGATCTACAGCCTCAGTCCTGGGTCTACAGCCTCAGTCCTGGGTCTACAGCCTCAGTCCTGGATCTACAACCTCAGTCCTGGGCCTACAGCCTCAGTCCTGGATCTACAGCCTCAGTCCTGGGTCTACAGCCTCAGTCCTGGATCTACAGCCTCAGTCCTGGGTCTACAGCCTCAGTCCTGGGTCTACAGCCTCAGTCCTGGGTCTACAGCCTCAGTCCTGGGTCTACAGCCTCAGTCCTGGATCTACAACCTCAGTCCTGGATCTACAACCTCAGTCCTGGGTCTACAGCCTCAGTCCTGGGTCTACAGCCTCAGTCCTGGATCTACAACCTCAGTCCTGGGTCTACAGCCTCAGTCCTGGATCTACAGCCTCAGTCCTGGATCTACAACCTCAGTCCTGGGTCTACAGCCTCAGTCCTGGATCTACAGCCTCAGTCCTAGATCTACAGCCTCAGTCCTGGGTCTACAGCCTCAGTCCTGGATCTACGCCTCAGTCCTGGATCTACAGCCTCAGTCCTGGATCTACAGCCTCAGTCCTGGATCTACAGCCTCAGTCCTGGATCTACAACCTCAGTCCTGGATCTACAGCCTTAGTCCTGGGTCTACAGCCTCAGTCCTGGATCTACAGCCTCAGTCCTGGATCTACAACCTCAGTCCTGGGTCTACAGCCTCAGTCCTGGATCTACAGCCTCAGTCCTGGATCTACAACCTCAGTCCTGGGTCTACAGCCTCAGTCCTGGATCTACAGCCTCAGTCCTAGATCTACAGCCTCAGTCCTGGGTCTACAGCCTCAGTCCTGGATCTACAGCCTCAGTCCTGGATCTACAGCCTCAGTCCTGGATCTACAACCTCAGTCCTGGATCTACAGCCTTAGTCCTGGATCTACAACCTCAGTCCTGGATCTACAACCTCAGTCCTGGGTCTACAGCCTCAGTCCTGGGTCTACAGCCTCAGTCCTGGATCTACAGCCTCAGTCCTGGGTCTACAGCCTCAGTCCTGGATCTACAGCCGCAGTCCTGGATCTACAGCCTCAGTCCTGGATCTACAGCCTCAGTCCTGGGTCTACAGCCTCAGTCCTGGATCTACAACCTCAGTCCTGGATCTACAGCCTCAGTCCTGGATCTACAGCCTCAGTCCTGGGTCTATAGTGTGTCAGTCCGTGGTAGTGGATTCCAAAGATAGACAGAGATACTGTAGATATTCTATGAAATTATGTAAAAGAATTAAAATGTTTCAAAAATATAAATCTGAAAGTTATCACCACTGGAGGAAAAAAGACAATTGTTTTGATTCTAATAACGAAAAGTAAAAAGAAATTCTATACAAACACATCATAAACATAAAAACAGATTTAAAGGGCGATTAAAGTCTTTACAGTTATAACAAAATATAAATAAAGAAAGTGTAGAGGCTCGTACCACTTGTAACATGCTGGACACGCTCTCCCACGACGCCTCGATGATGTTGTTCCCGCCGTCCACCATCCCCTGGTAACCCTGGAAACGCAACCATTATTTACACACCGCTGATTAACAAACTGTGATTCTGTCAGCGTCTTGGTTTCACTTAAAGTTCACGTCGGAGTCTTAGGGCCTCCTCTCGCTCTCGTTTTTAAAATTAACCTTTTCTGTCAATATCCATTTAGAAATAACCTCGGGAAATGCTGCTTTTGCTAACTAGCACATTAGCATTAGCCGCTACCCCATGTTTATGTGAAGCCTTAAATATATATGTTTTAACACGAGGACTCCCAGAAATATGAAACTACTAGAACTCCCAGAGCCGTTCTCCCAGAGGAGTTCTGAGAAATTGCCGAAAAAATGTTGCTAAAACCGGTTAACATAGCGTGAAAGGCTAATGCTAACTGTTGATAGTAAACAGTGTGTTGCTATGGTAATCATCGCTCGCTCTTCTCTTATGGAAAACAAAAATGAACCAGAACCAGTCCAAGACCATGGAGTCCAGGACCAACACCTTGAAAAAAGGGGTTTAACTACTGTATACAGAGAGAAAGCTACAATAATTACTACATTAGATTTTTTTTTATGGTAAAACAACTCACTATTCAAAAGTAAAAGGAAAGTTAAAGGTTATTTCATAAGAATAAATAATGGCATAGAAATAAAATACAAATAGATACAGAGAAAAAGTTATGAAGAGCAAGAGGTACATGAGCAGAGTTTTACACTTTCAAAACTCAAAGCCGTCGAATTGACTGCTCAGCCTCAGGCCCCTGTGTCTCTGGTCTCACCTCGTGGATGAAGTAGACTTTGGCCCCAACGTAGAGCCCCATCCGGACCGCCGCCCGCACCGCCGCGTTCATCCCTGACCACAAACACAACACGTCACAAACGAGCGCAGACCCCCCCCAATGTAAGCATGTTTAAAACGTCAGAGCTTCTAATCCGACCTGCAACCGAAATGAAAATAAAGCTGTGTTTTAGACACGATGAAAATGAAGTGTTTTCTCAGCTCTGTCATGAGGGTCAGTGAAGAAGATCTGTGAAAACTCTTGATATTTCCCCTCTGTGGGATTAATGATGACATTCATTCTGGGCCAATATCATGGACCCATCTGGTCCAGAACCATGGGTCGCACCCCCCTCCCAGCCTCTCCACACGGCCTCAGTCCTGGGTCTACAGCCTCAGTCCTGGGTCTACAGCCTCAGTCCTGGATCTTCAGCTTCAGTCCTGGGTCTACAGCCTCAGTCCTGGGTCAGCCTCAGTCCTGGGTCTACAGCCTCAGTCCTGGGTCTACAGCCTCAGTCCTGGGTCTACAGCCTCAGTCCTGGGTCTACAGCCTCAGTCCTGGATCTACAGCCTCAGTCCTGGATCTACAGCCTCAGTCCTGGATCTACAGCCTCAGTCCTGGATCTACAGCCTCAGTCCTGGATCTACAGTCTCAGTCCTGGGTCTACAGCCTCAGTCCTGGGTCTACAGCCTCAGTCCTGGGTCTACAGCCTCAGTCCTGGGTCTACAGCCTCAGTCCTGGATCTACAGCCTCAGTCCTGGATCTCAGTCCTGGATCTACAGCCTCAGTCCTGGGTCTACAGCCTCAGTCCTTTTCTGAGTGGTTCCTCTCTGATGCAGGACAAGTATTCACATTTCAGTGGTCGTCCCGGTCCCTATGGACCAATGGCTTCTATGTGTTTGTTGTTATGCCTTTCCTCTCCTCTCCCTTTCTCTTCTCTCTCTCTCTCTCTCTCTCCTCTCCCCTCCTCTCCCTCTCTCCCTCCCCCTCTGTCTCCTGTTACATAATGCTGCGTCCATAGTGTGTAAGAAAACCCTCTGGTCTCTGCCAACACTGTGCTCTATATTTACATTATACTACAGACACGACACAAACAGGAGCCGAGCTTCAGTTTGTTTCATCTTAAACTCTCCTCCTCCTCCCCGGGGTCGATAAGGGTGACCCCCTGGGGTCGATAGGGGTGACCCCCCTGGGTGAAAGGAAGAGCTCCAGATGAAATGTGAAGTGGGTATTCCAGAGAAATTATCTTTATTCTGTTTGAGTGTTTTCTAAATCTGTGAAGGTTTGCCCTCTGCAGACCTGTGTTGAAATGCTGTGTCCACACAGGACAACAGCGGGGGGAGAGGAGGGAGGAGAAGGGGCAGGAGGGGGGGAGGAGAGGGGAGAGGGGAGAGGGAGAGAGGAGAGAGGAGCGAGAGAGAGAGAGGAGAGAGAGAGAGAGAGAGAGGAGGGAAGAGAGAGGAGAGATGAGGAGGAGAAAGGGGAGAGAGGAGAGAGAGAGGAGAGAGAGAGGGGAGAGAGGAGCGAGAGAGGAGAGAGGAGAGAGAGAGGGGAGAGAGGAGAGAGAGAGAGGAGAGAGGAGAGAGAGAGGAGAGAGAGAGAGGAGAGAGGAGAGAGAGAGAAGGAGAGAGAGAGAGGGGAGAGAGAGGGGAGAGAGGAGAGAGAGAGGAGAGAGAGAGAGGGGAGGAGAGAGAGGAGAGAGAGAGGGGAGAGAGGAGAGAGAGAGGAGAGAGAGAGAGGAGAGAGGAGCGAGAGAGGAGAGAGAGGAGAGAGAGAGGGGAGGAGAGAGAGGAGAGAGAGAGGAGAGAGAGGAGCGAGAGAGAGAGGAGAGAGAGAGGGGAGGAGAGAGAGGAGAGAGAGAGAGGAGAGAGGAGAGAGAGAGAGGAGAGAGAGAGGAGAGAGGAGCGAGAGAGGAGAGAGAGGAGAGAGAGAGGGGAGGAGAGAGAGGAGAGAGAGAGAGAGAGAGGAGCGAGAGAGAGAGGAGAGAGAGAGGGGAGGAGAGAGAGGAGAGAGAGAGAGGAGAGAGGAGAGAGAGAGAGGAGAGAGGAGCGAGAGAGAGAGGAGAGAGAAAAGAGAGAGAGAGAGAGAAGCACCAGTCTCCCCCTAACTATAGATTTACTTGAACTTGTACTTTTACTGCAGTTCTTCAGACTGTACTTTTACCCTAGTACTTCAGACTGTACTTTTACTGCAGTACTTCACACTGTACTTTTACCCGAGTACTTCAGACTGTACTTTCACTGCAGTACTTCAAACTGTACTTTTACTGCAGTACTTCAGACTCTACTTTTACTGCAGTACTTCAGACTGTACTTTTACCCTAGTACTTCAGACTCTCCTTTTACTGCAGTACTTCAGACTGTACTTTTACCCTAGTACTTCAGACTCTTTTACTGCAGTACTTCAAACTGTACTTTTACTGCAGTACTTCAGACTGTACTTTTACTGCTGTACTTCAGAATGTACTTTTACTGCAGTACTTCAGAATGTACTTTTACTGCAGTACTTCAGAATGTACTTTTACTGCAGTACTTCAGAATGTACTTTTACCCAGCCGTACGCAGCGGTACTTTTGGTCGGATGAAGACTATTGGTCGCAAGGCGGGTTGGGTGCCGTGTTTTTCCCGTAAATGAAATCAAACTGTTGTAATGAAGTGTAATGAGGCGTGTGCTGCAGATTTAAAGGGGAAGTCATTGAACCAGTTTATATAAGTTTGTATAAGTTTGTATAAGTTTGTATAAGTTTGTATAAGTTTGTATAAGTTTGTATAAGTTTGTATAAGTTTGTATAAGTTTGTATAAGTTTGTACATCGACACAGAGTGGACCGAGTGTGACATAATGATCTGTGACCATGGGAGAGACCAGAGAGACCAGAGAGAGAGAGACCAGAGAGACCAGAGAGACCAGAGAGAGAGAGACCCGAGAGAGACCAGAGAGACCAGAGAGAGAGACCAGAGAGAGAGAGACCCGAGAGAGACCAGAGAGACCAGAGAGAGAGACCAGAGAGAGAGACCAGAGAGAGAGAGACCCGAGAGAGACCAGAGAGACCAGAGAAAGAGAGACCAGAGAGAGAGACCAGAGAGAGAGAGACCAGAGAGACCAGAGAGAGACCAGAGAGAAAATGAGAGAGTGAGACAGACGAGAGACCAGAGAGAGACCCGAGAGAGACCAGAGAGAGAGACCAGAGAGAGAGATACCAGAGAGACCAGAGAGACCAGAGAGAGAGAGACCAGAGAGACCAGAGAGAGAGAGAGACCCGAGAGAGACCAGAGAGACCAGAGAGAGAGACCAGAGAGACCAGAGAGAGACCATAGAGAAAATGAGAGAGTGAGACAGACGAGAGACCAAAGAGAGACCCGAGAGAGACCAGATAGAGACCAGAGAGAGAGAGACCACAGAGAGACCAGAGAGAGAATGAGAGAGTGAGACAGAAGAGAGACCAGAGAGAGACCCGAGACAGACCAGAGAGAGAGCATGAGAAAGACCATACAGTGAGACAGAAGAGAGAAGCCATGACAAAAGAGAGACCAGAAGAATACCAGAAAGAGAGACCAGAGAGAGACAAAAAAAAGAAAAAACAGAGAGAGAGAGAGAGAGAGACAAAGAGGTAGACTAGGACACCATGACTAGAGAGAGACCAGATAGACTAGAGATACACACAATCACATATAATACTGTTTTATATGTATATTTAAACAGTAAAAGGCGTCTAGTACGTCCCCTTTAATCAGCCTCAGCCCCGCGGCTTCGGACAGACTCCATTCACCTGTTGACCGGCTTTAAAACATCCACAACTGCAGCCAAACCATCACCGCGCACCAGGACTGAAGCACCGGGAGAGGAGCAGCCCCAGACCCCCCTGCACCGGGCCTGGACCATCGCGCACACCGGACCATCTGCAGCCGCGGAGGTGCGTGACCTTCACTGCAGCCATCCCAGAAGAAGGATGACGACATGACGTAACCGCGGTTCAATCAATACGAGCCAGAGCAGGATTAAAACGACGCAGATGTATAAATGTAATGCCTGTGCGTGTGCGTGTGCGTGTGCCGCCAGTTTGGGAACAGACTGTGACTTTAGCCAAACTGGGTGAAACACAGACGTCACGCACTGGAGCCGCACAGTCCTGAGTTCGGAGGAGAATCCATGTTGAGTTCTGGTACCTTGAGCATCTCCTCCGCTGGTCAGCACCGCGATGCTCTTGCCCTCTCCGGACAGGTTCTCCACGAATTTCCTGGTGTCTTGGCGCTTGGGGGGCGCATTATTGGCCATGGCGAGCGTGTCCCGGGCCGTGGAGGAGAGAACAGACGCGGACAGACGTCAACAGACGCGGACAGGAGCAGAGACAGGAGACAGCAGCAGAGGGGAAAGCTTTCTCTCTCTCTCTCTAGTCTCTCTCTACTCTATCTCTGCTCAACTCTCTCTCTTTCTGCAGCAGCAGTAGAGACACGAGGGCGCGCAGTGTCACATATGCACGCGCACTGTCACACGTGCACACGCACGCTCACACGCACGGTCACGCCCACCCACGCTGGCTGGACCGCACTACGAGCTCTGCTCCCATAATAAACCCAGCTGCGCCTTTCCATAGATCCATGTTTCCTTCTCCCTGGATTTAATAAAGACCCACAGTTATAACTTATGTGTGACTCACCCTCTATCCCCCCACCCCTTCTGTGTCAACGCTCTGCTTTCAAACACGTTATAACAGTCTGAAACTGTCCTGGGTAAATCTAGATTTCGGTGCCCCCGGAACGTCACCGTTAAACTCAAACCGGTTGGTTACTTATGTATTATTATCTCTTATTTATATTTAATAACGTTTGTTCTCTTGACTCCAAAATGTTATTATTAAAACATTTCCTCTAAACAAATATTAGATTTTAGAACTTGGAAATACACACAAACACACGCACAAACAAACAAACACACAGAGAGAGAGAGACCAGAGAGAGACCAGAATATGGACTCTATTCTGTCTTCCGATCATCACAATCATTTGACAACACTGGAACATTGATCAGGATTCATTCCCATTTTTCCAAGTATGAAGTCAGAACTTATGAGACGCACAACGACACAAATGGAAAATGGCGGTTTGTGGAAAAGGTCGATGGATAAAAGTAGATTCTGTATCTTGTGTCCACTTGAACGAGAGAAAGCAGTGTGAGACGGTGACACAAGAGCAGCACGTTCTGTGAAAGATAAAGACCATTGTGGAAGTGTGTGTCTTCGTTCACACGGACTGGAGACTATTGAACCACACACTGATAGGACGACGTGATGCAAGAGCTAAAGGAAATCAGTTTATTTGCCATTTGCAGTAAAACCACATTGGAATACACGGGCAAAAGTCCACAGTGTGCAACAGGCAAGTTTGTAAAAGTAATAAAAGTACAAGAAACATTTGTCATTGTCCAACCAAACAACTAAAACTGTTTCAATACAAGTGCTTTGTTCGGACTATATATCTTCTGCCAGAGGGAAGAAGCTGGAACACGGCTTTTCCAGGAGCCAGAGAAGAGTCATTTATTATTTTAAGAGCTTGGTTTAAGAGTCTGGATTCATCATTTATTCACATTTATGGACCAATGGCTCTATGTGTTTTTTTAATCATTGTGTTTTAACTGATTCTCTGATCTGTGTTGGCGAATCTACAACTTTGTAAAGTCCTCTGACACCTGTCACTTCACACTCTGGAACTCTCAAAAGCACTTCAATGTTATATAATGTAATTCATGTTTTAAGTCGTGGTGTAGCTCCTGTTTTGGCTGTTTTTTATGTTCAGTCTGCAAATGTCCCCGTGACCACTTTGCAGCTCTCTGATTGGTCGCTGCACGAACGTCCCGAGGAAAGGTTGAGCCAAGTTTATCTCCTGTGGGCGTCCATTTTCCGCTTCTGCTCTTCCCCTTCGACTTTCCCGCGCAGGACGTGCGTCTCTACTGAACAGTCCGTTCGTGCGAACCAAGATGTTTGTGCGTTTTGACGCTCAAACGCGCGTCACCATAGACTTTGCATTGAAAGCCGACGTAACGCATGATCCAGTCTGAAAGCACCATTAGACAGAAGGGGCGGAGCTACATGTTAGTCATAATCAGAATCATTCATTAATGACCACACAAAGTTGGTGGAATTTGGTTCCGGTTCAGCAGGAATGTAGTGGGAACAGATGATGGGCCGGGTTTTTGTGTATGCGTGTGTGTGTGTGTCTGTGTCTGTGTGTGTTTGTGTGCGTGTGTGTGTGCTCCCCCCCTTGGACTGCCACCTTAACGTGGTGGGGGAGTTTGAGCACTCGGATGATCCTGGGAGCTATGCTGTCTGGGGCTTCATGCCCCTGGTAGGGTCTCCCATGGCAGACAGGTCTCAAGTGACGAGTCAGACAAAGAGCAGTCCGAAGCCAACCATGGACAGCACGACATTGAGAACCGTGACGTCGCCCGGCATGGCGCAGCCGGGGCCCCACCCTGGAGCCAGGCCTGGGGTCGGGGCTCGCAAGCGAGCGCCTGGTGGCCGGGCCTTAGCCCACGGGGCCCGGCCGGGCTCAGCCCGAAGGGATGACGTGGGCAGTCCCTCCTGTGGGCCCACCACCTGCAGAGGGGTCCGTGGTGGCGAGGTGCAGAGAGGACTGGGCAGCAGTCGAAGGCGGAGACCTCGACGACCCAGTCCACACACCCAACATCTGGCTCTTGGGATGTGGAACGTCACCTCACTAGGGGGGAAGGAGCCCGAGCTTGTGGGGGAGGTTGAGCGATACCGACTAGAGATAGTCGGCCTCACCTCCACACACAGCTTGGGCTCTGGAACCCAACTCCTTGAGAGGGGTTGGACGCTCCACTTTTCTGGTGTTTCCCGCGGGGAGAGGCGGCGAGCTGGGGTGGCCATACTCATTGCCCCCCATCTCAGCCGCCACGTGTTGGAGTTCTCCCCGGTGAATGAGAGGGTCGCGTCCCTCCGCCTCCGGGTGGGGGACAAGTCTCTCACTGTTGTGACGGCCTACGGGCCTAACGGTAGTGCAGAGTACCCGGCCTTCTTGGAGTCCTTGGGAGGGGTACTGGACGGTGCACCGCCCGGGGACTCCGTTATTCTCCTGGGGGACTTCAACGCCCATGTGGGAAATGCCAGTGACACTTGGAGAGGGGTGATCGGGAAGAACGGCCCCCCTGATCTGAACCCGAGCGGTGTTCAGTTGTTGGACATCTGTGCCAGTCACGGCCTGTCCATCACGAACACCATGTTCGAGCACAAGGGTGTCCATCAGTGCACGTGGCACCAGGACACCCTAGGCCGGAGGTCGATGATCGACTTTGTAGTCGTATCATCTGACCTTCGACCGCGTGTCTCGGACACTCGGGTGAAGAGAGGGGCGGAGCTGTCAACCGATCATCACCTGGTCGTGAGTTGGATCCGCTGGCAGGGCAGGAGGCCGGTCAGACCTGGCAGGCCCAAGCATGTAGTGAGGGTTTGCTGGGAACGTCTTGCTGAGCCCCCTGTCAGACGGACTTTCAACTCACACCTCCGGGAGAGCTTCTCCCAGGTCCCGGCAGAGGAGGGGGACATCGAGTCCGAGTGGACCATGTTCTCTTCCTCTATCGCCAATGCGGCGGCTCGTAGCTGTGGTCGCAAGGTCTCTGGTGCTGGTCCCGGCGGCAAACCCCGAACCCGGTGGTGGACACCGGCAGTAAGGGATGCCGTCAGGCTGAAGAAGGAGTCCTATCGAGCAATGATGGTTCGTGGGACTCTTGAGGCAGCTGTCCAGTACCGGCAGGCCAAACGTGCCACGGCCCGGGCTGTTGCAGAGGCAAAAACCCGGGACTGGGAGGAGTTCGGAGAGTCCATGGAGCATGACTATCGGTCGGCCTCGAAGAGGTTCTGGCAAACCGTCCGGCGCCTCAGGAGGGGGAAGCAGTTCTTTGCCAACACCGTGTATGGTGCAGGTGGAGGGCTGCTGACCTCGACTGGGGATATTGTCGGGCGGTGGAAGGAATACTTCGAGGTTCTCCTCAATCCCCCCGTCACGTCCTCCGTCCAGGAGGCAGAGGCTGAGGATGTTGGGGCGGATACTTCCATCTCCCTGGCCGAGGTCACCAAGGTGGTTTGGCAGCCTCCATGGTGGCAAGGCGCCGGGAGTGGATGAGATCCGTCCTGACTATCTAAAGTCTCTGGATGTTGTAGGACTGTCTTGGCTGACACGTCTCTGCAACATCGCGTGGCGATCGGGGGCGGTGCCAATGGAGTGGCAGACCGGGGTGGTGGTCCCTCTCTACAAGAAGGGGGACCGGAGGGTGTGTTCCAATTATCGTGGGATCACACTCCTCAGCCTCCCCGGTAAGGTCTACTCCAAGGTACTGGAGAGGAGGCTACGTCCGATGGTCGAATCTCGGATTCAGGAGGAGCAGTGTGGTTTTCGTCCCGGTCGCGGAACACTGGACCAGCTCTATACTCTCCATCGGATACTCGAGGGTTCATGGGAGTTCGCCCAACCTGTCCACATGTGCTTTGTGGATTTGGAGAAGGCGTTCGACCGTGTTCCCCGGGGTGTCCTTTGGGGGGTCCTCCGGGAGTACGGGGTCCGGGGTCCTCTGCTGAGGGCTGTTCGGTCCCTGTATGACCGGAGCCAGAGCTGTGTTCGCATTGCCGGCAGTAAGTCAGACCTGTTCCCGGTGCATGTTGGCCTCCGCCAAGGCTGCCCTTTGTCACCGGTTCTGTTCACTGTATTTATGGACAGAATCTCTAGGCGCAGCCAGGGGCCGGAGGGGGTCCGGTTCGGGAACCACAGGATTTCATCTCTACTTTTTGCGGATGATGTCGTCCTGTTGGCTCCAACGAACCAGGACCTGCAACATGCACTGGGACGGTTTGCAGCCGAGTGTGAAGCGGCTGGGATGAGAATCAGCACCTCCAAATCTGAGGCCATGGTACTCGACCGGAAAAAGGTGCCTTGCCCTCTTCAGGTGGGTGGAGAGGTCCTTCCTCAAGTGGAGGAGTTCAAGTATCTCGGGGTCTTGTTCACGAGTGAGGGGAGGATGGAGCGTGAGATTGACAGGCGGATCGGTGCAGCGTGCGCAGTGATGCGGTCTCTGTATCGGACCGTTGTGGTAAAGAGGGAGCTGAGCCGAAAGGCAAAGCTCTCAATTTACCGGTCAATCTTCGTTCCCACCCTCACCTATGGTCATGAGCTGTGGGTAATGACCGAAAGAACGAGATCGCGGATACAAGCGGTCGAAATGAGCTTCCTCCGCAGAGTGGCTGGGCGCTCCCTTAGAGATAGGGTG